AGCTAAGTGGACTCAATCTGACCGCTGAAGCAGGCTGTGTTCCAGCATGACATGGGAGTGTGAAGAAAACACAGGAGTACCGTACTTAACTGGATAACATGAGTGAATTACACAGCGTGTAATGCAGGCATATGGTTGGTACAATGCTATGGTATCATGGCTGTTATTACCTTGTGGTAGACCTCTTGCAGAGAGCTCTGTGCTCCCTCAGATGCAGAACCGATGGCCCGAGCATCACACTGCACAAAAGTTCCTGATGGGTCCATGTGATACCTGTATTACACACACAAAAAAAAACGATACATGTGTTTAAGCAAAGCAAGCAAATATCCCTTAAATTTTAAAATAATAAACAATTATCTTGACATACAGCTGAGGTCCTTTTTCATCAACTCCCCCAAACAGAAGTGCTACACCAAAAGGTCGACTCTGTTTAAAACAAAGCAAAGACACAAATAGAAGTTAAACATCAAACTTTTTAGGTCTGCATCTCAAAATTAAAACACAAACACTGGCTGAGTGACTCACCATGGCACCAGGGTCTGCATCTTCCTCACCAAACTGCAGCGCCAGGTTGGACACAGCCTGAGTCACACTCTCCACTGTCATCGTCTCATTGTAAGTGAACCAGTGGTTCTGAAACAGAGCACATACAGGTTAACCGCAGATAAACACAGCACTCTAAATATGCCTTATACAGCGCTGTGCTCTGAAATCATACCTGTGTTTCCACTCTTGCTTTGTCGATAAGAGTCTTGGCATCAGCTATCAAGCCGCTCATGGCACAGCCTAAGACGTGAAAAGAAAGAAAACTAAATTGCATTTATCTTTCACAAGCTGTGGCCTAAAGCAAGACTCTTCACCATCAAAGTGAGACAAACGAGATGAAATTTCGTGTAATCCGAAGGAAAGCTTTACTGTGCAAGAATGTGGATGATTAAAATTTGTCTGAAACAGCTACAACAACAGTGTGAAAATTAAAGTTGAGGACTTGATTTGCTTAGCTTTGCGAGACAGTGTTCTGACTAATTTAAGCCACTTATACCAAAGAGTTTTTGCTGAAGCAAAGGAAAGAGAATCATTTCTCGAGGTGTTTTTTTTAAAAAGATGAATACTCTCCCTTAAACAGAGGGCTGCAAAAAAAAAAACCCCAAAACAAAACAAAAAAAACGACACACTGACAATTACAAAATATTTGGGGGAAAAAAAAGAAAAGAGAACTTTAAGATATTTTCACCAATCTTTACATGGAGTAGCCCAGTGATATTCTCTGGTTTAAAGTACTATTAATGGCACTTTGTTTACTTAAAATGTTTATTTATCTATTTTCTGCTTTACAGTCTTGCAAAGGGACCAAATAATAAAGAGATGATGCTTTCAAAAATAATTTCATTAACAGCTTTAATTTGGTCTATATTGTCACACAAACTATATCAGCCAAAAAACTAAATCTAATAATATTTGGTTTAAGCAATGCTTGGTTTAAATGGCTCTGATTTAATTGCAAAAATATTTAAAATCAGTGCTCTGAAGTAAATCAGAGAGGGTCTGGCTGGAATCTTTTTAAGATTTAATGAATTCACATGGAATGACTCTTTAGGTTGTTTCAATCTATTGATCTAGACGGTTTCAGTTGCTTTTGTCCACATTTCTCTTTTTTGTAAGGGAATAAAAGTTTTTGGAAATTGAAGTGTACATTCAATTAATAATAATATTTTCTGGGCTAAAAAGAAAATAATAAATATTTTTGCTTTTCTTTTTCTTTAACAATATTGCACTGGATTTCTGTGTAAAAAAAACAAAAACAATAACATGCATTTCAAGTCCAATTTTAATCAAAGAATCAATTAACTGGTTTAGCTGACTGGATATCTTTTCTCATTACAAAAAACAGCCAGTAATATTATGTCAACAAAAGCCTTAATCCTTTGTCATGGTCCATTTCCACTTACCAATGTGACTATCAATCTCCACGATCTTCTCAATGCTGTTGGGCTCCATCAGGGGAGAGGTGATCCTCTTCTCCACAGCCAGACATACCCCTTCTGAAGTCTGGATACCGATGGCTGTGGAGCCCAACTAGAAGAGCAAAGCCAGGCCAAAGAAAATAGATGAGCTCGAATATAATCACTTTGTTTAATAACCGCGCAGAAATAGTTAAAGATTCCTGTGAAGTACTCACTTTTATTGCCTCTATGGCATATTCAACCTGGAACAATCTTCCCTCAGGAGAAAATGTGTTCACACCTCTGGAAAACAGAAATTAAAGTTTAGAAATTTTAACAACGATTAATATATTAAAGATAGCTGTAAACGTTATTTTCACTATTATTATTTGCACGTCTATTACCTCATAACAGTAAAGTAAATAAACGCTCAGCTTGAAAAGGATGGCATACCGAAAGTGAAAGCAAACCAACTTTTTCCTAACATTGATTATTAGCTGCTAGCTGATACAAGCTGTAGAGACACTGTTACAATAAGGGTTTAACGAAATCAGTATTTTCTATATTTTCTTTCGGCGTTTAACCGGGCTTTCTTTCTCGGGTAGACAATAAAACACCTGTGTGCTCTCGTTCGTTTGTTCATTTCCCTCTGTTAAGCGCTCAATAAATGACAAAGCAGTTTGTGCTGCACCTACCTGTCATATTCCGATCTGGTCAAAAACATCTTTAACGTTAAACGCAGGATCTAGAAAAAGATAGATGCGTTATTTGCGTAAGATTAATGTACAGTACCAACAAGTTAAAGCAAATATGAAGCTGATTCTAGTTTTTGGTTTCAAGTTTGGCTGTGACACCGGGTTATCTGCTAGCTGCAGTTAGCGGTGATACCGAGCAGGCGTGCTAGCTAACAGCGCAACCAATTACACAATAACTGCATATTAGACACAAATATACATCAACATCAAAATTCCATCATTTAACAATGTCCGGGGAAATAATGTGTACAATTTCCAGTATTATCAAAATAACTTCACTTGCTCGGCTCGTTTACCTTCAGCCAAAAACCTTCAATGAGTTCGCTTGTTTCAGAGGAAGCGTTTGGTGTGTTACATCCAAACGCCCGGTTGTTAGCAATTCCCTAACTACGTTCCGCGTCTCCAAGTCAAAATATACTTCATTAAATTAACTTATTTATGTACTCTGAATTTAAACGCTTTTGATTTTGTGGTGTTATTATGTGTTTTTACTTGTAAAATTCAAAAACAAGAAAGCACATTATAATACTGGTATTTGTGAAAAATTAGGAAAAATAAAGCTGGGTAATGTTGCCTGAAACACGATGTTGTCCTACAATCATAATTTTTCTTTTGTCTGAAGACAAATTGTTAATGAAATTTACTGAAGACAAATAATGTTCCAATTCGTGCAAATCAGAATAACAAGAATACAACTTAACAAAAACAGACAAAGGTAATGATCGGGTGCCATGCGTTTGCGTACATGTATTATGCAACATTACACGACTGATGAGTACAATGTCCATATGGTCTAGCGGTTAGGATTCCTGGTTTTCACCCAGGCGGCCCGGGTTCGACTCCCGGTATGGAACGCCTCTTTGTGACGATGGGATTTAATGTCTTTCACGTGAATGTCGAACTTGGCCTTCGTAGTGACAAAATGGCACAATGGGCTCCAAACACAGTATAATTATTAAATTATTGTGGTCACTTGAGAGCGGAACCAACCGCTGGGTGTCGTTATTGAGCTGAATTAGAAGAGACGATGACCTGTTGATTGTCTGATTTCTTCATCAGGTTAAATACCCCAAAATATAAAATATTTTGCGCCTATCGAGATTAGTCGTCGTTAAGTATCTGCTATGCTCTTGGAAATGATTGTTTGGCTACTATGCTGAGTGCTACTGGAAAAATAGTGTGGCTTTTGAAATGTGCTCTAATACGAATACCAATATGTCACCACTGCAAAAGTAATGATGTACAGCTATTAACACAACTTAGTGGAAAAGTAAGAGAATGTAAGTGTAAAAACAAAAGTCTCTCTTGAGATTTTTTATTGTAGGCTAATTAGTCGGGGGTTGTGAGAGGAGGTTTACTTGGCGGTGTCGGGTTTCATTTCCCGGCTGATTTCAGTTCCGCTCGGTTCTGTTTTGGTTCTGTGGTGAAGCTCTAACTTAATGCTGTGGCAGCGAAGGTCTCTCCAAACTCTGAAATGTGACTAACCTTGACGGGTTGCTGTTGCGAACAGACAGGCTGGACATATTTCTCACGCTCAGGGCGGACTGCCAGGTGCAGAACACGACTTATCGGCTTAAAACTGAAAAGATGAAAACAGAGGGACGACATCATTTTCAGACTCTCCCTTGATCCACAGTAAGTAGGCTGGAGTGAAGCACTGTTTGCTTTTGTTGCAAGCGTGGATAGACTTTGCATTCGTGAGTTAAAGTATTTAGAAGTTGGACTCAGCAGTGGAGAACACTCTAAAGAAATTAAAAATATATTTTACTAAGTAACTTTTCCTCGTTTTCCTTTGTTCGAGGTGAAAAGAACGTTTGAAAGATTTGTTAAAGATTTGTTGTTTGTTTCTAGTGTCGTTAAGGTAGATTGATGTATTTGACCTTATGGGCTGATTTTAAAACCAGACTTCCGTCCACACTTACAGCGCAGATACATCTCGAGATGAGAAACACTGAGGGAGGGTTAATTTCAATCAGGCCTAACTGCACAGTACAAAAACAAAGCCCAAAAGGGTTTCCAGATAGCAATATATATTAGTTTACACCGGCAGTAAATTGCCTACACACACACATGCACACACATACATGCATTTTCAGATGCAGGGACCTACAGATTTGGTCTGAATATCTGTTAAGTGATTAACCCTTTTGCTTATTTCTACTGTTTTTGTTTTGTTTTTTCAGTCCCTGTGGCCTGCTTCTTCACTGCAGGTAGGTTTCTCCTTGTGTGTGTGCACATGTGATCTATGTGTCCATGAGTACTAAAAATGTTACACCCTGTCTGTCCTTTGTCAGTGTCATGTCAGGCTGAGAGCAGCAGCGTGGTTGTGGCAGGTTATATGTGAGCTCCCGCGCTGGTTCAAAGCTGGTGCTGCAGTGTGTGAGCAGCCGGATGGTGTGGACCAGGACAGGGTGAGAGACAGGCAGAGGGTGATCCACTGGGATATGTACCGGGCTTATCCGGACTACGCCATGGAAAGGGTAGTGACATGTTCTCAGCAGGAGAACAAAGGATGTACAACTCCTACAACCTGGGCAGGGTTGGTCTCAACCGACAGCCTTCAAAGATGGAAACTTCTCCCTGGTTATCAAGGTCACACACACATACAGACACATTCTGTTTTTGTCTTTCATGTGTAACTGTAACTGGCCAACATTACTTTGTTGGTGTGTCTCACTGTGGCTTTGCTTGTTATGTCTTATAACAAATATTTCAGATCACATATTAAGTATGTAGACAATATTTTAAAAGAAAGGTGAATCATTGCCACTGAAATGCAGTTAAATCAAAGACCATCTAGATATTTGTTAGGGTAGAAAGCCAAATGCATCCTGACACACTCCCCTCACAATCAGATATCATCCCTTATCACCTCTCTTCCATGCAGAGGTATGGCTAAATTGCATCAGTGTGACCACTATACTGTTACAGGGCAACCATGTTTCTAATAGAGGCAGTCGGTCTGGCTATGATTAAAATCATTTAAAGCTCTGTGTGGAAATTTTCAAGTGATTTAGTTCGGTATTTGTCTCTGATTTCCCGTCAGTGCGCAACTGGTCCCCATTGCCACCCCATTACCAAAAACTAAAATGCCCAGTTTACATAGATTACCATCCAACACCAAATCTCAAACACAGAGTCAACAAAGGTTTCACAGATACCTAAATGCCACACAAAGGAATAAATATGAAGCCTCTATAAACTACATTACTTGATAATGAAAAAAAAATGCCATTAAATCTAAAAGGTTTTGGAAAAAGGTTTGCTTTAATATGAAGTTTGCACTTCTGTTTCCTAAGTGGCCATGCTTGATTTGCTGTACTTCTACATGTGATGACAGATGTGACGATGAATGACCGAGGTCTGTACTCCTGCAACCTCCACCATCTCTACTGCAACTTTTACGAGACAGTCAGAGTCCAGCTCAATGTCACTAAATCACGTATGTATCACACTCTATCAGCTATCAGCACGTGAGCTGAAGTACATTAGTATTAATCCACAAACCCCTTTGACTTGTTTTTGCCACAAAGGCCGTAAAGAACAGCGATACTGGAATGGGCATAATGCCGTGTTCGTGGTGCTGCTTGGGAGCACTGCAGTGCTGCCGTGCACCAACCGACGTAGTGTGTGGACAGACTGGAGCGACCAGGAGAGGATCAGCAGGTGTTTCTACTTGTTTCCCGAGACAGATCAAGAGCTAACATTTGTTTTTAACATTAAAATTGACATGTACATGTCCTGGTTAATCTGCTTTGGATTATTTCTTTGAACTGTTTTTCCAGGTGTAACAATTGTACAGCATACATGTTTAATGACTTTAATGACAAGAACTGAGTGCAAATCACTCTTTTTGGCAGAAATGGTAGAGGTTATTTAATTGGTTGATTGAGATATCTTTTAAGCATAGTCCTCAAATTTCAATGAGGTGAGTTCGGGAATTTGGGAAAGCCATTCCAGTTGCTTAATGTTAATCTACTTTATTTATTCCAAAACCAGTTTTGACGTGTTTGGGATCATTTTCCTGTTGAAACACCGAACTGTGTCCAAGTTTCAACCATTTAGCTGATGATTTGAGGTGAATTTGAAGAATTTGGAGGCAATCCTCCTTCTTTCTTATTCCATCTACTTTGTACAATGTACCGGTACCACTAGCAGCAACACAGCCCCAGAGCATGATGGTCACCACCGTGCTTGACAGTTGGTACAATGTTCTTAGGTTTGAAAGCCTTACCTTTAACTCTTCAACCATCCCGCTTCTCATTATATCCAAAGAGTTTAATGTTTGTCTCATCTGACCGTCTTATTTTTCTCCAGAAGGCATTTGACTGGTCCATATGGACAGCTGCAAAAAAAAGAGTTTATTTTGGAGTAGGAGCTTCCTTCTTGGTCGGCACCCTCTCTGTACATGGTGATTTAAAATTCACTTCACCATGGACAGTGATGCTGGTCTTCCAGCAGTTTCCAGTTAATGTCAGGCTTGATGCTTGGTGATTCCTGGGTTGTTCCAGAACATCCTCACCAATTTCCTCTCATCAGAGGGAAACTGTCATGGTGCTCATGTATTTCTTGTATATGTTTTTCCATATGTTATGGTGGTTTTCTCTCCCTTTTTGTCCTTTCTCCCTAGGTGCTCCCGGATGTTTTGGGGTCGCTGAGGGGACTGCGACCCGGAAGTGTTCCCGCACTGGGGACTGCCGCACCTGCCGCCCATTAGCCCTCACCAGCTGCAGCTGATGGCTTCATGAGGGCGCCTTATTTAAGAAGGTGGCGGAGCCCCAGTCGGCGCGGGATCATACTAAGTCGAACCTGTTAAGTACCTCCGTAGATTAGTGTGTTGTGATCGGCTTCGCTACTAAAGGCTGCCTGCTGAGCTGTGTGTGTTTTTGTGTCACCAGGAGTCGGGAGTCAGGAACGTCGTCACGAGGGGAAATCACTGAGTGGAATCGGGTTTTTGGAGTTGTCACCT